GTAAGATCAACAGAGCTTTTCTGAAATTGAATTTGTGAATTTGTCAAACTTGAACTCGGTGCATTCTTACTCCAGGTTCACCTCTTGTGTGACGCTACCTACAACTAGCATAACAAGCTAATAATAACAATACATCTCTGCATTTTACGCTTTCAAAACACAAAGGGACGACGTTCAGACAAAGATATTTCACAGCAGCTCCTGTACTGGTAGTTTAAAGAGACAAACCGTCAGAAGTGACAGTAAATGGCTGCTGTTAATGTTCGGAATGTTCTGGAAGGTGCTGTTGCTGTGCTACAGTGCGTTGCCATGGAGACCCCAGACAGACAGGAGGACAGGCATTACTGATCAAGTAGTCATCTTTTATACAACAGTTTCAAAGAAATGACACGTTTTAACATTTAATTTCCCTTTGGGATTAAAAAAGTGTTTTAAACTGGAAATTTGAGAGAAAAATGTAAAATCAGACGTTTATCATTCTCCGCTTCTTAAACCAAAAGTTTCAGGTTATTGGAAACGCAGTTAGTCAGAGCCACATTTCTCACTTCTTCATCATCATCATCTGATGGCACTTCCTTATTGCTGCTGTTTAATACAATGTGGTAAAACTAAATATAATTTAGGGAAGTGACGCTCAAACTAAACTATATCAGATTAAGTTCAGTGAAAGACCACCACAAAGCCCCTCCACTGGGATTATTGGAATAGATGAATCAAGCAGTGAAATGGATGGAAAGGCAGATTAAATTACCAGGACATTTTATTACAAATTGTTAATTTACGTCTGACTGAAGCTGTGATTTTTGTTTAGATTTAATTAATTTACTCATTATTAAGAAGATGTCACTTATTCCTCATGTCAAAGTTCACTGTTTTCAACGTTACATACATAAACATTAGCTTGAGGCTAATCTCACCAACTCTGGTCATAAGTAGCTCAAATACAATTTCAAAAATGCTTTATTGATGCCACAGAAAATTAAATTAACCAAAATTACATTAACCATGACTTTTGAACGCCGTATCATCTACATAGAGCCATTTCATCCCCATGTGATATTTCAGTTTTTCTTTTTTAATAAATTTGCTAAAATTTCTACATTTCAGGTATTTTCTGTCAAGATGGGGTGCTGAGCGTACATTCTTAATAAAGTTGGGAAATAATCTTAACTTTGTTTCACTGCAGCAAACGGCTGCAGTGAAACAAAGAGTGAAAGTTTAAAGGGTCTGAATACTTTCCGCACTCGCTGCACAAAGCTAATTACAGGACAAACTTCAGCTTAGCAGGCCGATATTTTTGTCCCGTTTCCTTTTTGCAATGATTCTGTTGAACCACATTTAAAAACAATGTCTGATTTTCATTGGTTCATTTTCAGTAAATTTTTATTTATCATTACTTTTGTCAGTTTAAAGGTTTTTTGTCATTAACAGAGAAGTAGCAACAGCTTGTGTTTATTAATCTTACAGAATGTCAAACAGATCAAATCTGAGTGATTTGAATCCTCAGAAATGTCTTCAGGTTTTCTAAAAACATTTTTGTTCTTGACTGGTTTGTAAACTCCTGGGTTTCTTTGTGCAGCTTTATGTAATCTCCCTGGACTTTGTTTTATGCTCTGCCAGGTCTTGGTTAAATAAAACCGCTGCTGCGTTTCTTCTCTTTGGCGAATAATCGCCTCACGTTAAAGGACGACATCCCATCCGTCCTGCTGCTCTGTTGGGTCGACTTCAGTGATTTTTAATCCAAAGTCTCCACCGACCATAATATGTCGACTTTAACACACGGACACATAAAATTAAAACATTTTTACACCTGCAGCATGAGTCTCTGCTACCTTTACATAAACAGGTCAAGGCAGATTTTTTCTAAACTTTTTACACCAGAATCCCAAAGTGGAAACGACTCTGGGGCCATTTTGTTTCTCCAACTGAAAACACAAAATTATTATTATTTTTTTTAATGGGCTCAGTACTCAGGAAAAGGGCACTGAAAAAAATCAGACTTTAATTTAATGAAACAAAGTGGCTATTTTTTTGTATATATATTTTTGTCTTCATAAAAAGGTGACAGTTTCCGAACCTTTTGGTTAATTTTGGAATTCACCTTATTTGATCTAGAAAATGTTTTAATCAGCAACAAAATAAGAACTTTCATCTATTAACCATTTTTATTGATGTGCTCTAGTTTTTCTTTTGAGTCAAAATTTTTAATTTACTTGCCATGAAATTAAAATACAACATGAAAATACTGTGTGCCTAACACTTTCTGTTAAAGAAAATTTCAATTAAATGTGTAACTGAAATTCCCATCCTAAAAAACTAAAGTTTATACTTGAGGGCCAAATTTGTACCATTATTCAACTGCAGGTGGGGGCCACACAAAATTGTTCCAAGGGCTACAAAAGGCCCCTGGGCCACAGGTTGGACACCCTGGGTTCTGACTCACCTGGCTGGCTGACAGGTGGGATGTTGTTGGGAGGCAGAGGATCTGTCAGGGGCGGAGAAAATATCTCCAACAGTTCATTACTGGAAGACGTCTGCTGACAGAAAAACAAGAAAAAACAGTTTGTGTTATTTAATATGAGGCAGGATGTGATCTATTCTCACTGCACATATAAGATGTTACTCTGACAAACAGTTAGCTGATAGTTTCTCAGTTCATAGAGATTTTTTATTTATGCAAAAAATCCAAAACCCAGAAAAAAATCATAATAATTTTTTTTGTTTTTGTTAAAAGTGTTTTTTTGTTGTTGTTTTTTTTGCTTCTGTTGCCGATTCCCTGAACGTCACATCATGTGTTTTGTGTTTTATGCACCTGCTTTATTTGTCCTGATGATGACTGAGGTGGAGGACTAAACACATTCTCCAGAGCTGCTCCCTGAAACAAAAGAGGCTGAAGCGATTAATCGAATCAATCACGATTAATCGATTGTTGAAATAGTCGACAACTAATTTAGTAATCGATTAATCATCAACTGTAGAATAGACTCAAATAAATGCCATTTGCAACATACAGCAGTAATTAAACCAAAACTGTACAAAAATATGTACGTTTTGCATTTAAGATGAAAAATCTTCTTTATCTTTAAATATAACCAGAAATCCTTAATTGTCATTTTTAGCTTTACCTGGTTTCCATAAAACAAACTAAAACAAAACTTTTTATTAATCAATATATTAGTAGACGGTGTTTTTCAGCTGCAGTTTCATCCTTTGCTACAAATAATCAGCGTTCGCTAAAGGAATGCTGTCCTTGCATTTCTGGAAATAACATTTTTATGCTTTTATTTTTAAAAAGTAATTGAATTAATTGCCATTTGAATCTTTTAATATATTTCTAATATTGTATACAAAAAGGCTCTACTAATCGGTAGATTAATCATTTACTATAATTCTGAAAACGCTTATTTACCGTCTCTGGAGAAGCCAGACTGTCAGTCAGAGTCACTAAAGAAATATTCTGAAAACAACAAAGAGATCCCGGTAATAAGCGAACAACCAGAAACAGACTGATAACGGATGTAAACTGTATTATGTCTGACTTGGCTTGCCGTAGGCTGGTGTTGCTGAGGAGCCTCCTGTTGCTCCACACACCGACAAACCTCCATGATGTCCAAAATTATTGGATCCGCCTGCAACCGATAAAGTAGATAAAATCACAACCCAAAACAAGATCTCTTCTTTTCCCCACATGCGACTCATTCTGACCTTTTCACGACCCCATTCCGATTATTCCAATTATTCCAAGCCTACTTCGTCTTTTAACCGATTTCTGTTTGTAGATATACAGTTTTTGTTTTAAATTTTATTAATTAGTTACACACCCTGCAATTAACCCAATTAAAAAAGTAATTATGTCCCATATAATTATTTCAAATAGATTATATAATACATGATAAATGATATGGTTCAAGTACGAAAATCAAGGATAATTTGCAACAACTCAGCGTAAAACTGGAGCCGGAGCCCTAATTGGTAAATAAAAGATTAAAAATAATAAATATCTTTGTTGTTGACTTTATATGTCTATTTATTTAAAAAGAATTAGCAGAAATTGGTCTTTGAATTGGAATTGTGCTTTTTTGTTGATATTAAGTTTTTGTTTAAAATTGAATTACAGATCTTGCAATAAACTCAATTACAAACTGAAAGAAGTCAATCACTAAATATAATTAATTCAAATATATTATATTATATCTATTTATTCAATAATTTAGCAGAAAAAAGAGGTCTTTGAATTGAAAATTTTACTTATTTTGTCAATTAAAATGCTATTAGTTATAATTAACTACAGACACTGGAATTGTCAATTGAAATATTTAAACGAGTGAAACTATTTCATATGATCTTATTGCTTATGCTCCTTCAAACGACATCATGGTTTTGTGGCAAAGTGTGTAAATCTTCCAGAGCGATGAGACTTGGTCACATGATCCTCTGCAGGGCTGCGAGGCGTCACCTGGTGTCCCGCCTTGATGTAGAACAGGATGTACGCGTCTTCGTGTCTGTAGATGTAGGCCAGCGCTCGGGGGTCCGACTTGTCTTTAGTCACAGAGCTGATCCTGGATCTGTCGTGGTCATGAAGAACAATCTGAGAACAAAACAAAGACAGAACATCAGAAACAAGTTCGGCTCCAAAACTACTTACAGTGACCAGGAAGTTCCAGTTTATACAAGAAAACATCAGAGCTGATAAGACGGGTCGCTGGTTAAACTTTAGCTGCACTGCAAAAGTACAAAACCTTACCAAGCAAGTTTGGTCTGGGTTCTAGAGCAAATAAGAGAAAACTAACTTACAAGTACAACAATAAAAATGAACTTGTTTTAAGAAAATAATTATTTAGTACTGGTGAAAAAGTGGCAGATTATTTCTCTTATTGGAAAATTACTTGTAAAGTTACTTTAAGTTAGTTTTCTCTCATTTCCAGCATACTCAGATAGTTGCACTAGAAGCGAGACCAAAGCTACTTTTGTGTTTTTGCAGTGCAGGTCAAATGCTTGGTTTCCATCTCTTTACTTGATCACTTATTGTTGGTCTGAAGCCATAAGTTTATCCAGATACTCTTACCGAAATTCTGACTTTGCTCTACTCAGCTTTTATTTAATTTATTAAACAGCTAAATGTAGCAAGCATTTTGAAAGAAAGTGACCCAAAATTCTGTTTTCATAACCGAGAATAAATTTGTACAATTTTAAAGGAATGCACAATATTATCGGGACCATATATTATTGGCTGACATTAGTCATTTTTTGACATGTTGATAAATAAAACTGGTTCAACACATACAACTGATATTTATTTTATCTGTTTCTTGTCAGGTTTTTTCCCCCAAACGTGTCAAAACTGTAGTGAGATATACATAATATCGGTAAATATCGGTTATCAGCCATAACAGTGATATTAATATCGGATATCAATATCGGTCCAAATGGCCTGTGAGAACTTTTGATCAAACTGTGAGGAGGAAAAGCTCACAGGAAAAGCTACTGTTGTTACGTAGCTGCTGAACTGGCTGACTCACCCCGGTCCGCTCATCCAAAATCTTTAAGCCACTGGAGGAAATTTTCAGCCAGATCCTCATTTTGTGTTGACCCTGTTTCCTCGCTGAAACTTCAAATCCCTTCAAACAGGAAAATAATCACACAGGAAAACTGATCAGAAATACAGGAAAGCATAGCAGAGTCATGATGTGAAGGCTTTGTGTTATTGAACACGTTAATGTTTGAGCAAATGAAATGCTTGTACTGGTCTTTTCAACTGTATAGATATAATTTAATATCATTTTTGATGATTTAATGAAATATTTCATGCTCCTAAATTCACTAAAAGTGCAACAACCCCCAAAAATATAGATTTCTGCTGATAAACTGTCTAATTAGGTTATTTAGGATTCTATCTATTATTTTGTGTGACTTTATATATTTTATGTTTTGTGTGTTTATTTCTACATTATTTAGCCTAAAACCGTTTCAGTTCTGGCTTCCTAAACAGTTGAATTCTCCTATTGTTTTGTTCCCCTGTTTATAACGGTGCAACTTTTCATCACACAGAACCACATTAAATAAATAAATGTAAAAAATATATGTATATTATATTATATATAATAAAATATTCATATCACATAAATTATATTTTGTATTATGTAATTTATAAAATATTACATTCTATAAATACTATAAAATATTATATTTACATATTATTTAATATGTAAATATATTAATATTATACTAATTATATTATATTATATTATATTATATTTTAAGGACTGAGAACAAAACACTCCATTGTTCATTTCCAAGACAAATCGGCATAAAACAGAGGTGACATGTTTGTTTCTCACTAGCGCCCCCTAGACTCAGGAAGCTCTAAATGACTGAAGGAGGGCAGCAGCTGTTAGGACGGACCAAAAGTCACAAAGCAGCTGACTCAACATTTCATAACTTCCTATTAAAACCACTTTTATAGCACAAAGTAAAATAAAAAATACTAATTCCAGGTCCAGCTGATACCAGTTTTATTCATCTACTTTTTCAATGTTATTTTCTGTTGTTTAAATGAAGTGTGAGAGAAATAACAGATTAATTTACGTGCTTTTAACAGATTACCTTCAGTTTCATCATGGAGTCCAGCAGCATCTTCTCTCCCTGTGAGTCCGGCACCGGGTCCAAGCCGATCAGCTTGGCCTTGTAACGGACCCCGTCCCCTTCGTACCGGGACCTGGTGTCCAGAACCGGTCCTGAAAATCACAACCAAAAACAAAACCATCAGCAGAAACGAGACGACAAAGAGCTGCAGGAGCAGTAAAAAGTTTCAGCTTTGAAATGTGCAGTAAAATCTAACCTCAAATATGATTTTGTTGAGTTTTTTTTATTTGTTCATATGAAATATGAACATATTTTTCATTTTTCCACACATTTGTTGCTCATTTTACAAACAAAAACTTGTCAAATCATCAGATTCTCATTAACTTTTTATAGCGCTTACCTCAGCATGTCTCAAAGTGACTACTTCAGGTGCATTTTTTATATATCCTCATAAAAACATAATTTCCTTGTAATCGTTAACTTATCAGGAGCCGATTTTCTTTCCTTTTATTGACCAAAAGTGGAGAATATCCCAGGCTTAGCGGGACGACTCACCAAACAGACATTAATCAGCTCGGCGTAAAAAGCTTCCTCAATACAAAATAGTTTAAATAGTTTCCAGTGTGTGTTTGTGATGTTTCTAAAACAGCTGGAAGACTTCCCGAAGTACACAAAGGAAAGGACAGAGTAGAAGAAGTCCTACCTGCTTCCCATCAGGAAAACAAAACTCAGCGCCGCCATGTTTAGGACGTCTTTGTTCACTCTAACCAGTTAAAGCCTCAGATCTCCGTCAAACTTACTTTAGCTAAAACTAACCACATAACGAAAACCGAGAAGACGTTTCCGTTACTGGAAATAAATAAAAACGATAATTAACGGAGAAAAACGATAGCTAACTGGAACCATATGAGCGTTTATAAAACTAACTAAAACAGACCGAAATCATAGATGTAATATCCTTCGTTTTCGTGTTTATGAATATATTTATTAGCCGTTCGAACTGATGTGAAGAGTTTACGTCAGCTGTCGACAAATTACGGGAGTTCATAATCTTCCTGGCGGCGCTAATGCTAATCCGCAAAATGGCGACAGCAAACGCCAATCAGCTGGTTGTTCAACATAATACTTTTTTTTTAAAATGATGTTTTCTGTTGAGCATTCATTACCCAATCGTTATATACGTAATCATAGCACTATGACTTTTTAAAAATTCTGCACTTGTAATGAAACAAAGTATGAACAATATGAAACTACTAACACAACTAATAAAAACTAAACAATATTTAACTAATCAGAGGAGGGCAGAATACCCAGAAACTGTATTAAAGTAAGAGCAGCAGCACCAGTTCAACATATTAAGATATTAAGTAAAAGTAAAAAGTAGACGACCAAGAAGTTACTCAAGTAAGAGTAAAAATATATTTGGTACAAAGTCTATTCAAGTACTGAGTAACTAATCAAATTATCAATCCTTTGATATTTAAAAATTATATCATCAGACGGACCAAAATATAAAGTCAAATGGAAATTTTGGTATTTTAAAGAACAAAATGAAAATAATTTATATTAATAACAAAATCAGGCAAAAGAAACATGTTTCCAAATCAGTTTCTTTCTATAAAAAACTTATAAAACTTTAACAAAAACTGCAGGTGTGTCTGTGTCTGGTGAATTAAAACATGTTTGTTTTTCATTCAGTGGGTAAATAATCCAGAAATTTTACTCAAATAAGAGTAGAGATACTTCATACTAAAATTACTCAAGTAAAAATAAAAAGAACAGCCTAGTAAAAATTCTCCTAAAAGAATTTTTTTTTCAAAAAAGTAATTCAAGTAAATTTTACTGAGTAAATGTAACTAGTTGCTACCAAACTCTGCTAGTAAAAACTAATAAAAACAAGCAAAGACGCTCTAAAAACTAATTAAAACCAACTGACGGATAAAAAGTCACTACAAAATAAAACTAAATGCTACAGTTTAAAACGTGCGTTTTAAACTTTTCTACCCTGGTTTCCATCCTGAAATCTGTACAGCGCCATTCCTTAAACTACAAATATAGCAACTCGTCTGATGTTCTCCTGAGACTAAACTTCAAACTACACTCCCATACCTCTTGTCAAGTATGGTGGCCAGCTTCTGACAGCCTCTTGGCCCTGTGCGAGACAGCTCCCGGCCGTTTGCACTGTCTCGGTCACAATGTTTGTTTCCTTGAGATTCTGCAAAAACCTGGAAGCTTTCAGATGTTTTTCCTGCCAAAAATAGAAACTTCTCACAATCAAGATGCAAAAAAAACCTGAAAATGTTTGTGGATGCAGAGGAGAGTGCCTGCTTTGACTCACCTGCAGGGAATCCATTTTCACTTTGACCCAACTGCCTGGCCTGTCCCACTAACAAAGCCGCTGGGGGTCAAAGGTCAGGCTGCAGACTCACTGGTGATATATTAACATCCGCTGGGAGGCCCACATGCATGGGAACGTTTTCAGCAGAACGAAGAGGCAGCAACAGGGAGGATCTCCCTCAATGGTGCACCTAAGGTCATGCATTTCCCTCAACGACCGGCTCTTTGGTGGCATTTTCCTAAAATAAACCAATTACAACCAGAAAAAAACAAACCAAAAAGATTGGAGCATCTGCAAAATACTTACAATAATTTAAAAAAACAACCATCTACAGACTGTGTTTTATTTTTATATGATGTTGAGTTATGTAAGGTGAACATTGAGGTTAATATATAATAAACACATGAAGAGAAAGCATTTTATGATGTAATTCAGAGTCTCGGATAAACCAAAAGCAATTAAAATAGTTCCAGTGTCAGCTTGGGCCATTATTAAAACTGTTAAGTGTCACTTTTACATCTTCAAGAAGCTTTTTTTTAAATCACACATGTTGCTTTACATAGTTCTCATGTGACGTCACTCTTCTGGGAACTTTGTAGCCGACAGCCATCTTGGTAGGCATGGGCTATGGAGCTGCTATAACAACAACAAACAAGCCACAAGCTTATAACTACCTCTGACCTCGTTCCTATCTAACTGATAACCAGAGGTGGTAGAGTAGCCAAAAATTACACTCAAGTGAGAGTAGAACTACATCAACATATCTTTACTCAAGGGAAAGTAAAAAGTAGTCGTCCAGGGAATTACTCAAGTAAGAGTATGAAAGTATTTGGTAAAAAGTCTACTCTAGTACTGAGTAACTGGTCAAATTATCAATCATTTAATGCTTAAAAATTACACCAGAAGGACCAAAATATAAAATTAAAAGGAAATTTTGTTATTTTAAGAACCAAAATGATAATAATTCATATAAGAAACAAAAAAATAACAAAATCAGGCAAAATAAAATGTGTGTGTCTGTGTTTGGTGAATTTTTAGTTAAAATGTGTTTGTTTTTTCATTCAGTGGGTAAATAATCCAGAAATTTTACTCAAATAAGAGTAGAGATACTTCATAATGAAATTACTCAAGTAAACGTGAAAAGTACAGCGTAGTAAAAATACCCCTAAAAGTACTTTTCTTCCCAAAAAGCTACTCAAGTAAATGTAACTGAGTAAATGTAACTAGTTGCTACCCAAATCTGCTTATAACCAATAGAAGCACATTACAATTGTTACTCGCCCCCAACTTTTGAGTACTCTACTCACCTCTGTATAATACTAGTGATATTTATTGTAGTACTTTCTGCTGAACTAGCATAGTTAGCTTAGCTAATGTAGCTTTTATCTGCTAGCTAAGACGGACATGTAGCCTACCTGTATGATACTCATTTAGTGACCAGAACCGCGTTTGTCACAGGATGAGTTCATTACAAATCCGTTTAAACACTGGTTGTATGATCCATGCAGCAAGTAGTTTCTGGATGGTAAGTCAACAATAACGCTCGTCTTAAACCAGGTGATTAAACGAGCTGGAGCTCGGCTTGGGTTGCTAGGTAACTCTGCTGTGGTTGCTAGGTAACGACGCAGTGCCCTTCGAATGTTGGGAGGTTTTTAAAACTGCCAAATTGCTCCGGTCTTCTGGTTCGAGTCATCTGATGAAGTCCGCCTTCTCGATAAGTGTTAATTTGTTGAGGCCAAACAGCTCAGCAGCTGATTATTTTTCTTTTCTGAGCACAAAAAACATTTTTGCTGAAGACATTTTTCTTACCCACACAGGCCGCTACACCAGGTTTTTAGCTTGGAAGTCCCAGTTTTCAGGTTGTTTCTGAACATCCAAATGAGTTTCATTGTTTGGGTCGTCTTCCAGACAGCAAAGTTGTGACACATCTGAATAACTTGTACAGATGAGTAATTGTTTGTGCTGATGCTGTTTGGTTGCTTAGAAAAAACCCTAAAGACTTTCCAAACTTGTGTAAATCTACACTTCTCTTTGATTTTCCCATTGTTTTATCCAGCAACTCCAATCAAATACCATCAAGTCTCTTTATGTTGGCAAAGAAACTCCAGCAGCTGCAGTCCATCATAATGAGAAGTCAACAGGCCTCATCCTGGTTAAGTTATCTGACATCCAACAACCTTCAAAACCATGTAATTATGACCCTCTATGCCTCTGAGACAATCAACCATATATTTACGTTTGACCCTTGTGTTATTCTAAAATCCAAATATGTCAAAGTCATCAATCTCCTCCATTCCGGTCAGAAACAATCAGGACATTTGGTCTGCTGCTACTTTACGGTCAAAGTTCCTGTGGGAAATCCAGAAGGAAGTCTGGTTTCACTCCAAAACATTTTGTCTCAGTAAACTATAGCGTTGCTATTATGCTGAAACTAATGGAGAAGACCAGGTCAAGTAGATCCTGATAGCATCCAGAAGGCAGCTGCAGCCGTATTTTCTCAGAAAGGATGAATCTCCGAAATTCAGAAGGGAAATGATACGACGGCGTTCGCAGGCCAAGCCCCGTGACTCACAATGAGGAAGACGGTAATTAATGAAAAACTGAGAGGGTTTATTCTTCAGGCTAATGAAAAAAATCAAATCTAAACCTCCGTTGTCTGAATTTAACTGTTTTTGTTTTATGTTTGATTAGATTCTTGTCATCTGCTAGCTTAACCGTTAAATGGTCGGACACATACGCATTTGAAAATGATTTCTTCACCATTTCATGGTGTATCCAAGCTAAAATAACAGATTTTCATGTTTTTTTTTAATAGGAACTATTATTTTTCAATTTTGAGTTTGTAATGCCCCTTCATAAAAAACTCCACTTTTAGGATATTTGTAATAAGTTATGTAACAAATTTTAAAACATCTTCCTCACTGGTTTTCTCTGAATTTGATGAGCCATTCTGTGACAAAATTACAGTCGCTTCCCTTTTTCTCTGAGCTGCACTGAAATTCAGTGAATACAAATATGGTACTCAATAAATTTAACTAATTTTAAATAAGCTTAATTAGTATTTTAAAAGTGAACATCTATAAATTAAATGAATTGAAATAAAAGAAATCTGATTGTAACTATTCCTGTTTTATACCCTTAAAAGGCATTGAATGCCTTAATATATAAGCTATATTTTTTTTTTACATTAAATCACTATTAATCTTTACAGAATTAAATCCTCTCATATAATTATGTATATGAAAAAAAACAACTCTTACCTCACAGTCTGTGTTTTCATCCCTGAGATCCGCCATTTTGAAGTGTAAACTCTCAGTTTGTATTTGAATCTGGCATAAGGTCACATGACCTCAATATTGGCCCCGCCCCCTTTAAATGTATCCAATCATGATTGGCAGCCATTTTATTCACAGCTTGTGAAATTTCTGTATCTCAGGTTACAAAAAACCATTTAAGTTCTAAGTTGTTGCATTAAAACAGAATTAATGATAAAGTTAAATACATTATATCGTCCATTGTATTTGTGCGCGATTCTTTCACAGATATATGAACTTAAATCATATTTTGTTCTCAATCCAAACGGTTTAAAATCACATAACACCTTGAACTCCTCTGCAGACCCCACACATCCTGGACACAAACTGTTCAGACTTTAACCTTCAGATCGACATCAAAAAACATTTTTTGTGCTGTCACAACTGTCATTATTCCTTCATTTTTCTTTTAAATGGCTGCAAATATATCCTTATTTTATTCCCACTAAAGCAGTGGTGTCCAAACTGTTTTCCTGGCTAAAAATGCAAAAATTAGTTTGTGATTTCAGTTATCCAAAACATAAAATGGGCTTCAGACTGTTGCCTTCTTAAAATAAAACCAGTCAATTTCAAATAAATTTGGGGCAGCAGTTTTGTTTGACAAATTTTTATCCGTCTTGACTTGAAATGATTGTGGCCTTGAAACAAAATAATTTCAAGGGCCACTAATGGCCCCCCGGCCACACTTTGGACACCCCTGCTCTAATGTATTTAAAAAGAAATTAATAGTTTTGGTTGTGAACACAATCCTGGCCAATAAAGCTGAGTCTGACTCTGATTTACACACCTGTGGCCTTAGAAGTGACTGATTCTTTACAGTCAGTATTTATTCTGATATATTTCATGTTTTTTTCTGTTTCCTTCAATAACAAAATTTAAAAACCAGCAAATATCAAGTCTATTTACCTCTAATCACAGTTTTTAATGGAGGAAACATGACTCCTCATTTTGCCCACACCGTTTTTCGTCTGAAAGGCTGCAATGCGCAAGCGATGCACTTTTACCAATAAATATTTGCATACCAGGTCTCTTGTGACATGGAGTTTAGCGCAGCAGAGAGCTTTCTGTTTGCAGGAAAAATGTTCTCAAGCAGTGCGTCTCACTTGTTGAAACAGGAAGCGTTTCATCTCAGATTAAGGGCAGCTTTCCTCAAATCTCTTTAAAATCAGAGGGAATCTAATAAAGCTAAAATAATACACAAAAAACAGAATATCTGGTCAGGGAAGCAGATTTGGTGGAGCAGCAGAGACTTTAATATCTCGGGGAAATTAAACAGGAGATTTAATTTAAAAAATTTAAAAGGCGGTCAGACAGAGGTCAGGGATTGCTGTCATCTCAGCGTTCACGAGGTTTCAAATTTCCTTTTAACAAGAACAGTGAAGGGTGGCGGTAAGAGTTAGATTTCCCAGCAGTGACAACAATATTCAGGAATAAAAACATGCATTAAGGAGCTAATCTCTCACAGGACAGATGGCCCTGTTGTTAAAGAGCTGCAGATCATTTTATCGTCAGTTATCTGACTCCCTGTGCAAAACATTACACAACTTAGCTCACAGTTAATGTCTCATTTCTTTAGATTATTTGCATCATTGGAACAATATGTGAAACTTCTGGGTATGAAGGAGAATGCATGACTAAAGTGTTATTTTTGGGTTGTGTCCAGAGACCTGTCAGATGTAAACTAATGGCCAAACGTCATGTGAGATCTGTTCAAAAATAAACAACCAGTGCTTCTCTAATTGCTCCCTAAAGTAAAGTAAAATGTCATGCGCTTCAGCTCATCCACATTTATACAACAGCAGGAGATAAAGAGCAACATGAAAGCCAGACTGGTGAGCTTCACTTTGCAGGCGGGTGGTAAAATGTCCGCCAGCAGGTCTGACAATGGTGAAAAATGTAGACCGGCTAAATGTCAGTTGGCGAT